CAGCTTAATACCTGTTCTGGATAAATTTGGGGAAAGTAATTCACTATACAAGTGCTTGCCTAAACTGACAGAAATATTTTAAGATGCGTTTTTTTTTCCTAAAAAAGTCAAACCCTAATTCTTTCTCCATTGGCATCTTTGCTATTCATTAAGAAGCAAGGTCAGGTTGCAGGAAGAAAATAATGAGCTGGTTGCCAGCCTCAGATTCAGCTTCTGCTCAGGAAATACAGCTCTCCACAGTATACGGTTGAATGTTTATCTGATCCTTTCTACTGGAAGATATTTAGTCACTAGACAATGGACTTTATTCAAACCAGTTTAAGTCAATCTGCAGAATATCCTGTTGTAGAATAATTATCATGTGTAATTTTCCAGACCAACTCCTGCAAAGATTTGAGACATTAGTAACACTGAATTCAGTTGGAGTATTCTGGGTTACGTATACGTCAAAAAAACCTCAACTGCATAGTTGTTTACAAGGTAAAAACTTGTTTTTTTCCAGTATCATGTAAATATCAAAGTAAATAAAATCTCCTCCTACGGGAACATAGTTGCCTAGTAACACAATAATGGGTATTATCAAATATATGTTCCTTAATTCAGAGCCATTTTAGCACCTAGTAGCATGGAAATAAGAATCAGGCACAACTTCATGAATTAAAGCAAGCTGAGGAGAGTTAAGTAATTGAGACAAAAGACCTGAACAATAGAACTTTAAAGTCTTTTTTCCCCCACCAGAACTGTATCTCATATTTTCTCTCTGTGTTTTCTCTGATAATATTTTTACAGCTCTCCTTGTATTATTGCCTTAATGACTTTAGGACCTCAATTACACGCATACTAGATACTTGATGCTTTCTAAGCAGTGAAAAACTATCCTGAGAAACTCTAAGTTAGATAAAATAATAAAATGGCATAGAGTAATGAAACAAGCATGTATTACAGATAAGCATATAGATAGGTGTGTACAGCGAAGATCAACAGAAGAGTCTTAACTGCAGGGTAGAAGTAGGCAGAATTTGCCCAACTGCTGTACGGTCAGATGGTGTGAAAAGTCAGAGAGATTATTATCATGAAGGGTGACAAAGATGTATCTGCCCACACAGTGGGAGCAGAGGCTCCTTTCCCTTTTGGCTGCCTGATGTTCACACAAAACACTTCTTCATATTGGTTAAACTTAATTTCGAACCTGAGGAGTTTCAAGCAGAGGCCAATTTTTAAAAATTGTTCTGCTGTAGCAGTGCCCTTTCTTGCCTCCCAGAAATGGAAGGAAATTGTTTCACGTCTGCCCCAGATCAGAGCTGTGTATGTCTGAGGTGCAAATGGGCAGCAGCTTTGCTTGTACCAGTGACTTAGGTTTGATTATTTCTGTCCTCAGTGCTTGAAATTGAATCTCTATATTCTTGCACAAAGAAGGTTCCTGCCCTCCCACAAGTCCTGCCTCTAGTCCTAGGAGGTGGAAATATATTGAACTTTAAACTAGTGTCACCTTTATCTACAGAAAAACATTTTTGGTCAATCTCAGAGGTTTCTAAAACATTATTTACAGCGTTCTCTTCCTTTAAAGCTTGAGCAAGCTTGAATTTCAAATACACAGAGTGACATGAATGTTTATAAAGTGGCCACAAATAATGCTCTTGGTATAGAATAAAGCACACACAGACTGAATAATTCATTACTGACTTTCAATGTGCTCATGATGACTCCCATAAGTGAGAATAACCTTATCTCAAAGTTATCCAGAAAAAAAGCTTTCTAGACATTCTATCATGTATTTCTAGCACTTTTAATGTCACAATATTTCTTTGGGTTAGACTGGATTGCTTTTAGGCTAAAGTTGTTTTGTTCACATATGCCTGTTCAGCTAGTTACAGATTGAGGAATTTTTTTTTTTGCATTTGCAGAGTGTGCCCCAGATAAAGGCTGGGCTGAATTGCAGCCCCTGTGCTGGCTAAGGAAGATGACAGAAGTTGCTTCTGATTTCTTTTCTATGGGAAGAAAGGAAAGGGACACGGGACAAAGCAGCTCTTTATGGAGCCACGAAGGGCAAGATTATCAGAAACCCTGTGCAATACATGGCTTTCAAATACAGAGCTCTGAACTCTGTTTCAGAAATGGCTGTAAGGTAAATAAACTCAGATAAATTGAGATAGAAGTGAGTATTTCTTAAGGTCTCATCAGTCCATTAAACTGAAATGCTGTTCTCTCCATTAGCTTCTTACTGAAGATAGACCAGGCAGCGCAGCTAATGCTGCTTGGCTCAGGAGGGCAGCTGCCACTCACCCCTTGTGGGCCTTGGTGCATTAATCAAATTGCTTTTCACCAAAAGCTTAGCTGTATCCTTGTAGTCTTTATTTTTCAAGGCAAATCTACTTTGAAACTGAACGGTGGGGAGGTGTGATACTGTTCCAGGTAGTCATACATGTTAATCCTTTAAAGGACTTTTGGAAACAGTTGATGTATTAGTGGTGGTTATTCACATGGGAGAGTGTTGCAACAGCAAGTAATGACAGCTATTAACAGAAGAAAGAGAAATATTTTTAATAGTGTTTGGTATTACTGCTGCCTAAATCCAGGTTACTTTTGCTTAAGCTTTCAGCAGTACAGCAGAGCAGTGAAAGTAGGCCTCATCTCATTTCCCAGAAGACCAGAGAGTTTGCTATTGATCTCAACAGAAGCTGTTTTGGAAATTTTGACTGAATTAAATATATATTTGTCTTAACATGTATTGGCACTGATCCAAAGTCGATTAAAGTAAATGGGAAGAGTCTCATTGGTTTTATTCTTGTTCAGAGGGTGCCTCTCGGACAGTGCAGGTGATAAACAGGATTATGGATTTGGCGCAGGATTCTCAAACAAGTTGAAGTGAGATGCTTTCAAAAGCCCTGCTTTCCACTCCCTAATGTGACTGAAGTTTATACTCCAGGTTAACACATTAGAGATATCCTATTTCTTTGTATAGCACTTGTCCAGTGATAAATAAGATTTCCAAGAAAATAAACATGCTGTGTCATTTCTCCAAGTGGAGGAATAGGGTGTGGGTGATCCTTTTAAAGTCACCTTCTAAGTCAATATCTGAAACTAGCATTTCTGAAGGAAAGTTTGACTTGGACTTACTAGCTTCAGTGAAAAAATTCTAATTCTTTAAAAGTCACTTAAAGTCAGATTTATATCAATGTCTTTAGTCATCTTGAGTTACAAATTATGGATGAAGACACTATACATTTGAAAATCCAGGTTATATTTGCTGTGAGAGCCACTCACTACTTGCAACAGACTGTTTTACTGTAACTAAAATGATGTACATGCTCGGTACTGTGTGTAAGAGTGTGTCCTGGGTTCAGCAGTAGCAGTCATTTTTCTCCTTCTTGGTAGCTGGTGCAGTGCTGTGTTTTGACTTTCAGCTCGGGAACAGAGCTGATAACAATGATGTTTTGGTTTGGCCAAGGACTTTGTGAGCCTCATGCTCTGCCAGGGAGGAGGGGAAGCTGGGAGGAAGCAGAGACAGGACACCTGACCCAAGCTAGCCAAAGAGGTATTCCATACCACAGCACGTCATGCCCAGGATGTAACTGGGAGTTACCCAGAAGGGCTGGGAGACGGCAGGGTTGGAGGAGGTATGGGTCAGTGCTTGGTCGGGCTGGGGGGGGGCGAGTTATCAGTCGGTTGGTGGTGAGGTGTTGTATTCTCTTCCCTTGTTATTTCCTTTATCATTGTTATTATCATTGGTGGTAGCAGTAGTGATTTGTGTTATACCTTAGTTACTAAACTGTTCTTATCTCAACCCGTAGGAGTTGCATTCTTTTTGACTCTCCTCTCCGTCCCTCTGGGAGTAGGGGGAGGGAAAGAAGAGGGGAGGAGTGAGTGAACGAGTTACCTGACTGGGTTTAAACCACGACAGAGTGATACAACAGTTGTGTGTATAGCATTTGCTGCCCTAATCAGGGAAACAAATCAATCATCAAACTTGTTTCTCAAGAGGGTAGAAACTCTCAGTTGTGAAACAACTTTCATTGTGTCTGTCAGTGGGACATTTCAAGGAATATGTTACCTTAAGCCAAACGATACGCCTAAGAACCACAAATACAAATGTTATCTTTCATTTACAGGTATTTTTGTATGATTAGATCTGACATCTGTTCCAATACAGAGGTTTACTTTAGAAAGCTGATGTGCAGAAAGTGACCTAGAACAGGTCAGAGAGAGAGCTCCCAAAAGATAGTTAAAAGTTCCTTATATATGTGCTGAAGACACTGAGCAATAAAACTTAAGTAAATCAGAGCTGTTTAATTTTCTCAGATAAGCATAGTACTTGGAAGCCAAGCTGCTTTGAGCAACCTGGTCTAGTGGAAGGTGTACCTGTCTGTGGCAGGAGGGTTGGAACTAGGTAGTCTTCCCTTTCAACCAAAACCATTCTAGGATTCTAGGATGTGACTTTCGGATGCATAGTGTGTGTTTGGTGTTCTGCAGGCAGTCCTTCAGCTACAGTCTTGCTGATGATGGGATGGGGCAGGTGACAGCTGGAGACTGTAGTGTTTGACTGCTATGCTGCATTTCTTCAGCTCCAGCTTGTGCAGCGAAGCTGTAGGTTCCCACAACATCTTGGCCAAAGGACTTGGTACCTATGAAAGGTTTGTGGCCATACATGTGCAGTTATGACCTGACGTCCAGTGTACAAACTTTGGCCACAGGCTCCCTGCTAAAACTGCTGGGGGAATGAAACATTTGTTACTATCACAAGAGATTTCTGGAGTCAAATTATGGTCCTGTGCCTGAAAGGGGATGTAGTTCCACTCTCTTCTCAGATGAGAGAATGAGTATTTTCAAATGGCTTGTTTCAGAAAAGTAAGACAGACAGTGAACGATTTGAAAAAAAAAACAACAACAAAACTTCAAATGGCAATTCTACATTTTTTGATAATACTTTTAAAATGTGTGCAACCTGCATGGAAAATATGAATTAATGTTTTTTAAAGCAAGAGTATTTGCATCTCAAAACATAGAAATGCAGTAAGTCTATTCTAATTACTTTTTATCATTCTAATACAATCTTAACAAGTACAGTCACTGATTTGCACTTAGAATAAAAAGTCTGCAGTATGTTTAATGCTGCTTTTAACCACTGTTTCCTACCAGAGCCTTCTTACACTCTAAAGCCAATTAAATTACCAAGGAATAACCTGTCTTTTATCATGTATTCACAAACAAAATTCTATGATGCAGGCCTATTCATTCAGACAGGTGATTACTAGCTATCACAATGTTTCCCCACCATTAGAAATACTTAAACAGACAAGGTGCATTGAACACCACCTCTTTGACTCCTGCAGTCAGTCACTGATGGGAAAGTCTCTTTTCAGACTGCCTTGTGATATAACATGGTATGAGCAGAGCAGTGACAGTAGGTGGCTGCAACCCTAAATGAATTTGATATCCTGCAAAGGCTGTAAAAATGACAAAGAGAGTAAGATGAGTATGGAACTTAAGAGAGGAAAAAACGGGCTGTAATAAACTGAACTAATGATTGACTGGCATAAAGCAGTTTAGCTGTAATGCTAGTGACATCAGTAGAGATGCTTTGGAACTGCAGTTGATTCAGGTTTCAAAAATAAAAATTAGAACAAAACACGTAGCCAGTAAGTTGAAGATTTCAAAATACGAGTACACTCAATAATGACAGCTAAAGCACACAAGTGACTTAAAAAATCACCTGTCTCTCTAAGATGCTACCCATGCTGAAAAGCGATCAGTCAAACACATTGAATTTGCAGCTCCTGACATCAATTTATTAGAGAGCCAAAAGATCTCATTGGTACGCTATGTTTAAATTGCTTTCTTTCATGTTTTGAAATTAATTTTATTCAGTATTGCCTTTTGAAGAAAGTCATAAGGTTAACAGACAGATTTGCCATGCTTATGCTGAACTGTGTTTTAATATTTTTTTGAGTAGCCCCTGAGCCTGTTTGTGATGTTAAGTGCATTTTAGGGGTGGAATGAATTTGGTCGTAAATCACTGCAGATGTCTGAGTTGCAGAAGGATAGATTAGCTCTTAATGCCGAAGGGGTGGCTTCATTTTATTTTCCACTCTACACAACCAGGGTCGACAGTGGCGTTGGTAGCCGTTTGATTGTATTTATAGGAGGGTTCTGAAGTGTTACCATGTCTGTCTTTTTGTTGTACTGCTCATCTTGAGGCCCAGACCTGGGGTACTTTTAGCTGGAGGTGTGCTGGTATGCAGGCAGAGAGTGCATGCAAAAAAAAAAAAAAAAAAAAAAGAAAAGGCAGGGGGGAGAGTGAGCCTGTATCTTCCTCCTGCTGGGGTTTGCCAGAAAATGGCAAGGCATCCTCTTTTATGTGAACCTGCCAAGGATGTTGCCAGTTTTAACAGACATCTTATTTCCTTACCTATTGCCTTTACAAAGATTGCACTAATGGGCTGTTTGGAAGGGGAGATCAGTATTGATCTCTCTCAACTTTCTGTTTCATTAAAACAGACCTCCACGCATTGAAGGCAACATTCAGGACATTGAAATTCATTCACAAAGCAGCATCAGTGGTACTGCACTGTGAGTTTCAGGGGATTATGGATGCGTTTTGTGGATAGCTAACAACACTATCATGCAGCTGCTTTATGTTGTTTGAATGAAGATCATACTAGTAATGTGTATTTTGGGGGTGAGGAATTCTCCTTCTGCTCTGGCCACTTTTGTCTGTCACACCGTCAAAAAATAAAAAAGATTTACATTTAATCTTGCCAATGTCCTCACCTTCAGGAAGGATTTGTTGTGAAAGAATGGTATTGCCATAGCAACGAGGAATTTTTTTCAGATGGCTTTAAAACTGTTGAATTTCCAAGGCACAAAAGCTTGTTCAGAGCCCAGAAGTACCTGGATAGAAAACAAAACAGATGGTAAATTCTCGACAGCTTTTGTGGAATCATTTTTTGCCAGTATCCTCCGCTTTCCCCTATGTCCTGAATGTTTGGTTTACAATGAATTTATACTCCATGACAGATCAAGACTTTGCTTGGTGGAACTGGAAATCAGCAGCACCGTGGCCTGTTCACATGAACGGCTAATCTGTAAAGGACAGGAAAGCTGCTAAGCTGCTCTGAAAACACTGGTGATCTTCAGATTTTCAGCCGTCAAAAGCATTTCTTAATACTATTACACTGAATGGTGTTTTCTAAAGCTTAAGGAGTTGTGATATTGGGAACTCACCAAGGAAAATGTCTCTGTCTTGTAAATTATTCCTAATGATGCACCTTGCCATTACTGCAATCTGAAATTTGACATTTAGCAGGGAAGTTTTCTTTTACTATAAAAGGTTTTAGACTCTGAGGGATAGTTTTCTCCTAATAGAAAAATAATAGTCTACTGCAAAATGATACACTGCCATGTATCACAACTTCTTACTGTGAACACAAACTATTTTCACACCTATCAATACTTCTCATGCAAGCAAAGATATTTTTTATTTCTGACAGGTATGACAGGCTTCTGAGGAAAGACTTCATATGGTACCTGCTTTTAGATTTTGTTGTTATTTAAAAGATAATGCCTGATACCGTTGCAATTTTGTCATACGAAATGTTGGCAAATTTTGTTATAATTCTTCTGGACAAACAATAAAAAATACCTGCTTGTGAGTGAAGACTTTGGTCAGGTTAGGGTTGTTCCGGTGAGTTCCACTGCCCAGGAGAGTGAAACAGCGTCAGCACAGGTGCTGCTCATGAGCAGTCTTACTAAGAAAGAGCTCTCTGTCACTGAGGTATCAACACAGCATTTTTCCCAGAACTGGTATTTTAATATAAATGGGGTTCTCCACATATATCAAGTATTAGTTATTGCCTTAATTGTCAATTACTAGACAAAACTTTTTGCCTTTATTCTAGACATTTGTCTTAAAACCATGACATCAGATTTTGCCACAGCCACAAAAAAGTCCATCTTAGTAGAAAAAAGTATTAGAGTTCATCTGATTTGATATTGAATTACTGAAATTCAGGAGGAAGTGGTAGAAGTAAGTCTTCACTTCAGTAACATATCTTTGGTATTGGACTTCTTTCCATTATCTTTTGGGTTTTGGTGTTTTGGGTTTTGTTTTTTTTTCATGATGTAAACACTGAAGGCTTAACATAAAGAATTATTAGGATGATATCAATGCTATTAATGGTATCAAGCTCTCATCTTGCTTTTCATAATTTAATGGAATTTTTCCATTGGTTTTGCTAAGCAGAAGGTCCAGGTCCTCAATCCTGGACTCATTGCCATCCACCCCAGGGAAGACAAGAACCCCTGCTCTGTGCATACTGAGAACCTTGCTCGCTTGACTTCATAGAATCATAGAATCATAGAATAGTTAGGGTTGGAAAGGACCTTAAGATCATCTAGTTCCAACCCCCCTGCCATGGGCAGGGACACCTCACGCTAATTCATATCACCCAAGGCCTTGTCCAACCTGGTCTTAAACACTGCCACTTCCAAATATTGTGGTATGGGAGCAAAGAATTGGGAAGAGTCCTGGACTGTGGAACATCAGTAAACTCTGGGCTGCTGGGCCCTGACAGCTGTCACCACTTCTGTATTACACCTTGGGAATATTAATTTTGCCTTAAACTTCTGCTCTAGTTTTCTGGTCCTTAAGCTGCTTGTCAACTTGTTCTACTGCAGAAAATGTGATTTACTACGTTTAACAAGGATGCTAAGAAGGAGTTGAGGATAACTTCCCTTTTTTTTTTTTTTAATGATGAAGTTTGCTAGTATCAAAATTTAATTTGTTACTAGGTCATTTTCAGTTGCTAACTGCTGTTCATGAGCATATCCATTCTTACTTTAATGGGGTATTTCAACTCTTCTGTTTGACAAATGCTTGCAGGGGAAGTAATAACTATAGTTTAAACATAATATAGTTGCAAATATAGTTACAATATGCCCTGTGCATAAGTTTTATAATGAAATGCCAAGTCTTGAGTGGAAGAAGTTAAAATCACTCACTGTTTCAAGTCAGTTACTATTGCTGCTTATTTGTGCTAGGTCCTTAAAGAAAATGTATGTTACATAGTGCCCATATAAAGACTGATGCAGGTTTTTCTCCCTATAATTTTCATTTGTCATTAACCTGTGATTTAACAAAGTATTTTACTAAGAGTAAAAAGTCTTTTTCTCTAGCAGCCTATTCTTTGCTCATGCAATAATTTTCTGTTCCTCTTAATACAACTATCATGGAGATATATTCAAATTCCATATTGATTAATTCATGCACACTGTGACTTAATATCTAATTCTTTCCTTTCTCATCTTGCTGGAATTGGAAGAAAATGCCTGATCTTATTCCTCTGCTAGAATGATTTTTATAGGAGTTTTCTAAAAGCAAGATCTTCACTTGTATTTACTTGCAGGACTAAAGTTTTAGTCTGTAACTAACTCTGGCATGCCAGCAGAGATGATTAATTTCTATTGCTTTGGGGGACAAAAAGGGACTCCAGTGAAGCTCTTCTACAGTGAAACTTTCCTTTTCCCCCTTTTTTAATTCTTTTGTTCTTAATGCAACAGCTGGTTTGTGTTTGCTTGTTTATTTGTTGAATTTTTTTTAGACACACAACTTGAATCTTTTTCTTCTTTATTTGTGGTATTGTCAGCAATTTCCTGATAAATATTCTGACTTTTTTTTTTGATTGTTCCTCAGTAATGATCCAATAACTAGACTACAAAATTTACACTATAAAGACATCTTTGTTTGTAGTGAAATACCTAACATATGCTAATTGCTTCATCTCAAATTCTGGTGGAGCCATGACCAAGGCTGGAATTTTAACAGAGATGTAGACAGCAGCCACCCCCTGTACTGTAGCAGCCACACCATTATGTAGTTATGAGATAGCAAGTACTTTTTTGTAGGCTTTAGTAGAATTTTACTTGGAGAGAGGGCTCATTTGTAGGGTACCAGTGTTTACAATGATTATGTTTAATTATAGCACTTTGTAAATAGATTTATCTGAAAAGCACAACAGAAAATCTATCTAGTAAAGACCTTTGGCATCTTTACCAGTATTCAGGCAGAACTGAGATACCTAAGTCCAGAATCATAATGTAAAATCAGGGAAAATAGATCACTGATATTGATACTAATGTTCCCAAAGTTCAGTTTCTGCTCAAAGGTGTCCTGGTCTGAACAGCTTGCTGGTCACAGCTGCCTAACATAACTGGGATTATAAAACATCTCTTTCTGAAGTTTTGAAGGCTTTATCTCTTCTTTGTTATCAAAGCAGGCACAATTAGGAAAAAAAAATAATGGTGATAATTTAAAAAAAGGCCAACAATGACAGTTCAGAACAAAGCACAGGAACAAAGCCTGAAGGAGACTGGGAAAACCTGCTTGCTAATAGGAGAGCCAAGGATGTTTCTAAGTTGCTCATTATGGAAAGGAGGGTCTGCCGGGAGGTCAAAAATATTTATTAGAGGCTTCTTTGAGATGATCAGAATCTCCCCCCCCCCCCCCCCTTTTTTTTTTTGAGGGATAAGGAGCTGAGTATTTTAGAGGCAGATATATTCACAGTTGTAGTTCTTAAAACCAAAACAAGAAATTCTTGCATAGACTGAAAGAATTTGCACAATCACTGCTTTAGGTCACCTTCCTGAGATGCTTTCTTCTCCCATCCATTGTGTGCTGCATTTAGATAGCTTATCCAGAGACACAAATACCACCCTAGGAGCTGTGTGCCTAAAGGGAGCTAAGCATATCTGTTATGAAATTGTTGGAGGAGAGAAATCTTTTGAAAGTTTACATCTTGAAAACTTGTACAGAACTAATACAAGTAATTTCTCTAGACCTTTTGAATTCTGAAGGCCTGCTGAAAACAATTCAAGAATTGATTACTGAACTGGAAAAGCTGCAAAGATCTTTTATCATGGAAAGTTTCCCAGCAACTTGAACACAGGAATCAGGTGAGTTCTTATTTTAGCATAACAAAGGCCTTGACAATACACAATGGGTTTTGCTCAGTCAGCTTTTCTGACCCACCTAGCACTGATTTCAATGTGACTCCAGTAACGTTTGTCTGGTGATAACAGTGCTTTCTGTACAGCTTATTAAAAGGTATTCAGCAACTTAGAAATGATAGCAATATGACCCATGCTTCTAAGAACTGATATCCATGTAAGCTGAGAAAAACAGCATCTGAGCTTTTGTTTTTATTTATTTCAGTGTGCTGTTGCAGTGGTTTAGCAATGAAAGGATTTTGATACAAGCAGACCAAGCCATTCTTACGACGTTTTGCACATAGTCTACTAAATATACAGGAGCTGGAACAAATGAACAGTAAAAATGTAGCAACAGTTGGCAAGACTGCAGTCTTGCAAAGCTAGCAAAAGCAAAATTGCAAACTTTTGCTAGACAGAATTATTTTAATGATTATATTCAAACCTTCTTCTGTAGAGAAGCATCTCTTTCTGTCCCCTACAGACATGCTGAATAAGCTGTATTTCCTCATATTTGTAAGCAATTGAAGTGATAGTTCTTTAAAAGATGATATGTTGGCATTCTGGCTATAAAACATGACTGTGATCTGCATTTTTTTTGTGTGTGTGCATCATATTCTCTCACTTTTTTATATATGTGAAATTGTTGAACTATTTCTACTAGGGTTATGGGAAATAATTTGGTATTGATGCTAAAGCTAATTGTTGTTCATGCATAAGCTGCCTGTTCCTCATATCCAATTTTTGATTAAAATATTGATGATGACATAAAAATACCTTGATAAGCCTTAAAGAAACTCTCCAAAGCTATTACAGATATGAATTGCAAAACTGAGGTGCACTCACTAACCATATCAAGTGAATCTCAATATATAAAGTTCAGTTGAAGATTTTTTAGTTTCAGTCCT